TATTATTGTTTTTTTATTATTATATTATATTTTTATCTCAGTTTTTTACATGAAATCACAGAGATAGAAAAAAACTGAGATAAAAATGTAATATAATAAAAATAAAATAATAATAATTGTCAAATATCTAATTATCATTAGTCATTGTTTAATACTGATATTTTGGTGGGCATTCTCTTAGTAGCAAATTGTATTGTTAATGTTTGATAATTACAGTAAAAACACCCTTCTGTGAGGCGTTAGTAACTAATGAAGTGCTTTGTGTGCAGGTTTACCTGCGTCTCCGGGTCGTTGCTGGGGATGACGGTGTCTGCAGGGGCTGATGGGACTTTAGCTCTGCAGAGGAAAGCGATCAGTGTGAAGCTGGATGATGAATATGACACTCAAGATGATGTGTTTGCGTTCACCTGTGGTTGATGAAGCTGTACGGGCCCAAACTCCCTCGGTTCATCTGTTGCTCTCTCGCGCCGGACTCGCATGTCTCCGTCAGGTCCTGTACAGAGCATGTGTGCATTGCTGATTATTCTGTGTAAAGTGCTGTGTTAGTCGTCGCGGCATGTGTTTTGTCAGTGTTTACCAGGTAGTTGTTGTTGAGGAAACTGGCGGCGCGTCCCATCGCCTCATAGCACAGCGAGGAAGAGGATGGTGAAGAGGCTGCGGATGAAGGGACGGGTTCAACAGAGCTGTCCGACACGATACTGCTGGGCCGCTACACACACACACACACACAGACAGAGGCGTTAGTAACTAATGAAGTGCTTTGTGTGCAGGTTTACCTGCGTCTCCGGGTCGTTGCTGGGGATGACGGTGTCTGCAGGGGCTGATGGGACTTTAGCTCTGCAGAGGAAAGCGATCAGTGTGAAGCTGGATGATGAATATGACACTCAAGATGATGTGTTTGCGTTCACCTGTGGTTGATGAAGCTGTACGGGCCCAAACTCCCTCGGTTCATCTGTTGCTCTCTCGCGCCGGACTCGCATGTCTCCGTCAGGTCCTGTACAGAGCATGTGTGCATTGCTGATTATTCTGTGTAAAGTGCTGTGTTAGTCGTCGCGGCATGTGTTTTGTCAGTGTTTACCAGGTAGTTGTTGTTGAGGAAACTGGCGGCGCGTCCCATCGCCTCATAGCACACACACACACACACACAGACACACACACACACACACACACACACAGACACACATCAGACACACATGCACACACACACACACACACGCACACAAGTCAAGTCCCATTTATTCATGGAGTGTTTTTTTCTGAAACGTTTTCTGGACGTTCGTTGAACTTTTTGTTTTTAAATGTTGCTACTTGTTTCAGAGAACATTCAAAAGTAACACTGGCTTGATGATAAAATGGAATGTTCCCTTAACGATAGTTTAAAAAGTGTCGTTTTTAAAACTGGAAAAACATTCCGTTTTCATAACTTAATGGAAACATTATCAGAAAACAATTATTCAGATCAATTCAGATTATTTAAATTTGGTTTTTAAAGTGCCTTATAAATACATTTTCATTTGACATTTGAATTATGAAACAAATTCAGAAGGAAGCTTAGCAAAGACTATAGTGTCATTATTCTTTATTCAGATCAATTCAGTTCAATGTTGATTCAGTTCAGTTCAATAACAGCATCAGTGTTGCAACGTTCATCAGTTTTTCATCATTTTTAATGACCATATTACATTTGTGGCATTTATTTTATTGCATTTATTTTCATACTTGTTTTCTTCGTTTTGCTCTCCTCCGATCAGTGTCAGACAATCAATAATATTACTGTATGTTCATTTAAACAATCTTCTCCGCTTCTACAGATTGACAGAAGTCACGTCTGCAGTTTTGAGCTCATTTATATACTAGTATACTTGTAAAAGTTTCAGGAAAACCTGTCGCTCACTGGAGTATTTGTACGTGTGTCTGACTAACGACAAAAACTCCAAAGGATTTTTCTATCAGCTTTTGGATTATTAACAATAGTTTATGATCAAGCTAGTGAGTAGATGAGTTTATCTGTTCACTGGGATGACGATTAATGACAACCTCTGCAGTCCCACGAAGACACCTGTTAGCTTTTTCAAGACAAGCGCTTACAAAATTACTGATATATTTTATGTTATAAAAATATAAAAAAAAGAATAAAAATAAAACATGAAAATATCTTGGGCTTGAGATAAACAGTCCTTATTTCATGCATTTAAACAAAAACACATTGAAAGAAAAAAAAACTTTTAATATATTTGTATTAATATTTTGAATTTTTTTTCATTTTAATTTTAGTTCGTTTTTTTTTTTATTTTTTATGTCTATACAGTTAAATTTTTTTTAAATATTTTATGTTGTAGAATAAAACATGAAAATATCTTAAGCTTAGACCTTATTTCAGGCATTTAGTAAAAAAATATATATTTGTATTAATATTTTGAATTAGTTTTCATGTTTTCATTTTAATTCTTTTTATTTCAGTTCTTTATATATCTATAGTTTTTATATATATATATATATATATATATATATAGTTATTTTAGTATACATAAAATGGCATTGTAAATTGTATTGTAAACTTAAATTGAAAAATATTTAAATAAGTTCAGGGTTTTTTTTTTTAATATTTTATTTAAGTTAATGTTTATTTTATTCCAAATAATTAAAATGTTTTATATGGATTTAGTTAAATTTTTTATTTTTTCATTTTAGTTCATTTTTATTTTATTTCAAGTAATGAAAATGTTTTTTAATAGTTTTAGTTTTAGCAAACAACAGCGATTCAATCAGTTCTCACGAACAAAATCATTTTTTTCTCGTTTGAGAAGCTGTTTCACTCATACTCAAATTCTGTTTCGTGCCAACTTCAAAACAATCAATATTTGTTAATTCAATATTTCCCGCCCTAAGTTGCTGTTTCAACAGGAAATGCATTATGATTATGAGATGAAGATCTGTGTCTACCTCACTCTGTGCTTTAGTGCAGGGCACAGGAAGACACGCCCCCTTCACCCTAAGCTCCACCTCCTGGTCAGAGTGGGCATCGCCGGCCACAGGCTGATCTCGTGGAGTGGAATCAGCTGAAACACGCCAAAAATACTCCTGAGACACGTCCTGCGCCAGAGGAGGCTCTTCCCAAACAACTACAACACACACACACACACACACACACACACACTTCAGAAACTGTCTGTCGTCATAGCAACTGCTGCTTCCTGCTACACAGGAGATACATATAAAGATGTGCATGACTTCAGATACAAACACTACTGCTCAAAAGTTTAGGGTTGGAAAGATTTTTTTTTCGAAATAAATTGTTACATCAATTGATTTATCAAGGCTGCATTAAATTGATCAAAAGTGTCAGCAAAGACATTTATAATGTGTTACAAAAGATTTCAAATAAATGCTGTTCTTTTGAACTTTCTGTTCATCTGTGAATCCTGAAAAATAAAATGCATCACAGTTTCCACAAAAATATTGTGCAGCAGAACTGTTTTCAACATTGATAATAATCAGAAATGTTTCTTGAGCAGCAAAGCAGCATATTAGAATGATTTCTGAAGATCATGTGACACTGAAGACTGGAGTAATGATGCTGAAAATACAGCTGCGCATCACAGAAATAAATTACAGTTTAACAGATATTCACATAGAAAACAGCTATTCTGAATACTAATAATATTTCACAATTTTTACAGTATTTTTGATCAAATAAACGCAGCCCTGGTGAGCAGAAGAGCGTATATTTCTGTTGGTCACCTGTCTCCTGAGGCGTCTCCACAGACGGGCTCTCCTGTGACAGCGTGGTCCAGCTGGAGTCCTCCTCCTGTTTCTCGGGCGATTCCTCGGGCTCGTCTCCTCTCAGCTTCAGGTGTAACGGGCTCATCTGCAGTCGCACTCTTCCCGGAGAACCGCCGCTTTCCGCCGTCCCGTCTCTGACGTGGCTCACGCGCTCGTTATTGGGCCGGACGTCCAGTTGATAAACATCCAGCGTCTCGCCGGGACTCTCCTCCTCCTCCTCCTCTTCCTCGCTGGCCAGCAGGAGCAGGTGGTTCTGGGGGAGGGTGAGGTGCACCTCCACATGGTTCTCTTTAGCCCACCTCTGCGCCTCTAGTTTGGGCAGGAGATGTTTCTCCTCGGGCTGTGTGTCTTTATCCGGGCTGCTCGGCGCCTCCTCTTCTCGATGGTATTCTAGAAAGCTCTTGGTCCTCCTCCTGATGGTGGGGTTCTTCTGGTTGTCCTTCCCCTCCAGCCAATCCCTGCTGCTCCTCACCAGGTTCCTTTCGTTCTTGTTGAGGTCCAGCTGCTCCTCTTTGAGCTGCAGGTTGGTGCCGTTTTTGGCCAGTTTGGGATTCGAGGCGGAGAAGGAGAGCGAGGAGCAGTAGAGAGACGAAGAGGAGGCGGATTTCGTTGGGGCGGGTCTTCGGTCAAAGGAGGCGTGGCTTTGATTCAAAGGGGCGGGGTTTTGGCTCAAACCCATTGCGTTTTGGATATTGGTCAGCGCGTATTTCTGGCGACTCTTCGAGTCTTGCGTTTCCTTGGAAACGGTGACCACGCCCTCCTTTATGGTGTCGCAGCTCAGCTGCTGGTTGTGGGAGGAACGTAAGTTGAGAGAGGTGGGCGGAGTCAACAGTGGGCCGCCGTGATTGGTTGATTCTATGGTCGATGCGCTGCGCCTGAGCGGAGGCTTCTGCAGTGACATCATCGCAAACGATTAATCGGCTGCGAAGATAAAGAGAACGATGGTTAATTAGCTTCACTAATTCCTGTCACTAAAAACAGAGCTGGGAAAGGATATTTTCCCAAAGGAAAACACACACAACTATAATCACATCTTAGAACTTTCTCATATTAAAGAATATCACAAATTAGATCTTGTTGATATCTCAGTCGTTTCTCCCAGACAGCAATGAGATTAAATGCAGATTTGTACTCTTCTCCTGTTTCTCACAAGATTTCCACTAGCTCCAGAACAGATCTCAATAATCTCTCAAACTTTTCTCAGATTTGTCAGAGATCTATCTCAGTATGAACTCATTCACATTCATTTCATAGCTACTGGTTTAGATGATCTATTTATCTACGTTTGCACTTTTGATAATCACAAAAGTTGTTTATATTGACTTCTACATTGATTTTTGATCATTTTTATTTTGTTTATATATTATTGGATTTACATCACTGAATCTATACGATGCTTACTGGATTGAGTCATACAGAATTTTATTGTAATTTTGTTACAATGACAATAAATCTACAATCTAAATTTAGATATTTACCGAAGGAAAACAAAAAAAAAATCTCATCTTGGACACAAGAAGCTCTTTCTCATTTTCTCCCTAGATTTCTCGACGAGTCTCCTCAAAAGATCTCAGTAATGTCTCAGATTGTGCTCAGATTTGTCAGCGATCTCAGTATGAACGCAAACATTTCTCATCTGCCATTCACATTGATTTAATAGCTTGTGGATTAGATTATCTACTTTTGCACTTTTAATGATCACTAAACTAGTTTAAATTGACTTCCAGTGTTGGGGGTAATGCATTACAAGTATTTATTTACGTATTTAATCCCATTATATTAACCAAAGTCTTTGCTGCTCACCTTTGATGATCCAATTCAACCACACTAATGAGCAAAAATGACTTTAGATAAACATATACATCTTAAAACATCTTTTTTATATTAAAAATAAACAAGCAAGCCAGGCCAGATGACAAAAAGTAATGCAAAAGTAACGTAACACATTACTTTCCATAAAAAGTAACTAAGTAACACAATTAGTTACTTTTTTAGGGATTAATGGAATATTGTAATGCATTACTTTTAAAAGTAACTTTCCCAAACACTGTGGACTTCTAGCTTGATTTTTATCCTTTTTATATATATATATATATTATTGGATTTAATGTATCGAATTTTGTTGCTCTAATTCTGTTTTTATGAGCTGCTGACTGGATTGAGCCATAGAATTTAGAATTTCTTTAATGAATGAAGAAATCTACATCTACATTTGTATCTATTGCCACAGTCTATTTGAGACTTTGTATGAAACATAACTGAGAATGAGTGATAACATTTGCTCTGTTAATTCAGCCGAGTTTCTGTGTTTGTGACTCTTAGACCCGATCACCTTTACATGAACTGCA